ACACTCAGATGTTGCTAGTATCGAACTGGGTACCTTATCTCTGAGAATATTTTCTAGCACTTATTTGTTTACACTAGGAATGTCCTCCTCATGTGGAATGTAATTTTTCTTTATTTGAAGCCCCCCCCCCCCCCCCCCCCCCGAATATAGCTGGGCCATAAAAATACCCTAATAGCTGGAAAGGGTTTCTGGGACCTCTCCACGGGTGATCCTCATTCGTATGGTAGCACTTTGTCACCGGGTGTTTATCTCTCTCTGTGATGTCCTGGTGGGGTACAACAAGAGAGAGGGTGTTTAGACTAGGAAGACCTAAAGCATGGTGGTCTTGGAAAACTCCAACCAAGGGGAGTTTAGACTATGACCACAACATAGGTGACTGCACCAGCAACTATGCTACTGCAGTTGCTTTACAATGTTTATGTGAAATAACTGTGTTAATCAAGTTTTTAGTTAATTGCAACGAATTATTCTTTCTTGATATCTCATGATTGCATTAAATATCAAGCAGTTGTGTTATCTTCTTCTTTTTCTTCTACTCAGCATTCATAAAACACCTCTAGTGTGGGTTCCTGAGCCCCTTTTTGAGGGAGAAATTGAATAGACCTGCCACTTCCCTCTCCCCTAACAAACATGTCATTAAAGTCGGCTGATTAGGGGTTACCATCGATGTCGTAGTGCAACTGCCTGAGAGGCGAAGAACCAAAAGTCTGCATGCACATTAAAAAATAAAAAAAAAACAACCAGATCTGTAAAATGGATGTGCACACAAAACTGCATTTCTGAAATAAGACTACGGTTTAGAAGTGGATGAAAACCAAAACTTGTTGCCAGAGTTTACAGCCGGTGAATACCAAGAATAAGAAGAAGAGTGACTAACAGGACAATCCTAGTATTCATATTCACACTAATGTGGATTTGAAAAACAAAATCTGACCTTGGCTTTCAGGCCAACCCCCATTTTGTTTTAACAGTCCCAAACTGGCTGTGCTGAAGTCAAAGCTGGTTTAACTGAACTAGTCCTCAACATGTTATCTTGTGTAGACATTTTATTGCTGTTATGAAAGCTCAGACCACCTTTTCTTAGAGTGACCTGAGCTGTGAGAGGAAGGGGGGGGGGGGCACACTAAAATGTTACAATGGGGATAGAGCGAGTGGAAGACCTAGGAAAATATGGAGTGATGGCATTAAGTACAGCCTTACAGAAATGAACGTCAGTCTTAATAGTGCTGTTGACAGAGCTCATCAACGAATGTTACATCTCCCCCCGACACTTTGATGAGGCACAAGGTGGAAGGCAGAGAGGAAGAAGACAGTAGCAAGATAACATCAGAAAAACTCGACAACAGTACGATATGTCTATGGTCAAGGTGGTCAGAAAAGCAAGAAGCAGAACATTGACAGCTTAAGTTGTACAAGAGGTCGTGAAGAAGAATATTTACCAATGTGTACACAATTGTAGGTGGTTGGGGTTTTAATCTTGAGGATTTAGGGTCACACAGCTAGTCTTATTACCACAAACTGTGCAGGTTCTTCTTAAAGTCCATCCCATGTGGCGTTGGTAATCATGTATATCCACAACCTTCTGTCTTGTGGACTTTTAATTAGTTCTGACTCAAATGTCTTCCATAACATAACCCTTGACCCGTTAAGGTCTTGGAGGCGGATCGATGGAAGCATTAACACACAAAACCCGCCATCTTTATCTGACCCGCTTGTTCTTTGCCCCATCTTCTTCGACTACCCACTAATGTTCCTTCTTTGCAATCAAATCATGTCTCACCACGTGTCCAAACCAAGCTAGCTTGCGATGTTTCACCATTGCCAGAAGAGGCTCCTGATGTCTTGTAGATGTGCTAATTTTGACTCTTACATATTTGTTAGTTTCATGTTGTAAATAGCAAATTAATAGAATTTTTCTATAGTATTTAGGTTCAAAAGTTTGAATCCTCCTTTTTATTTTGGCGGTGACAGTCCAGCTGTCACATCCATATAAGATAAGCAATACCAGTGATTTCTATATTATTTATGCCATGATGTCAAACTATCCAGCATCTTCTCTTATGGTCCCTTTCTCCCACAACCCCTCCCCCCCAACCCTTCCAACTTTCCCACCACCGCCATGAGTACTCCAGTTTTCTCATGACATGACCAAAGTATGTAGATTGTCTTTTTCTGATGCAGGCAATCAGTTCTCTTCATGAGTCAGTTTCTTTTAAGACATCTTCATTAGTCTTCTATCCTGGGTATTTTCATCATTCGTATACAAAACCACATCTCCACAGCTTCCAAATAATTGTTTACTAATCAACCAAATGTCCATGATTCATTGTAATTAGAATTCTTATTTCTGTCCCTGACAGAAAACATTTGCACCATCTTACTGAGGATTCTATCCTGACTGAACGCTTTCTCTACTTTGTATCATACTTCTTGAAGGAAAGAGTCACCTTTTATCTTGGGTGGTGCAAATATTTTTCTTTCAACTTGCTCAGGGTTGATGCCTGTCACAGCCAGTGATGAAATTCTTCCTCTCTATAGCACAAAGCCTTGGCAATTTTATAGACACCATGCTATCCAGCATCTTCTCTTATGGTCCCCTTCTGCTTCTTCCATATGCTCATGCAGCATATCCCCCACTCGGTCTACTTAATTTTAATTAAAAGGTAACACCAGTACATTTGGAATAAACCATGCGGCACAAGCTGCTAGTCAAGAAGAAAAGTTCTCTCTGTCCATCACTTTCAACTTGTCAATTAGATAGCTGCCAAAGAAGGCTAGGGCCTAATCTTCCCTGCCATATCATTAAGTTTGTATTTCCTTATCCTAGAATAAGGCTAGTATTGTCCCCAGTGAGTTCCTCCAGTGATGATGTTCAATATAGAGATAGTTTTTTGTCAGAGGATAGTCAACACAATACACCAAGGAATCGCTGGACCTAAAACACCTGTGTATGACAATTTGTCAGTGTCTTTATGATATGTTTATGCGTATATCACACATACAAGCACTGACAATGTGATAAAGTTAACTACCAGTGTTATTGTTATGATCCATGATAGAACTGTTATCCTAACAGGCACTGATCACATCTACACTAGTTTTTCTTGTAAAAAACACATTTTAACATTTCTTTCTGGAAATATTGTCAGGATTATGTCACACTATGTTTGTTAATATAGTTACATAAAATTAAACAGTTAATATGAAACAATTTAATATGTTTGTTTTTAATTTGAGGTGACATTGTGGTCTTTGAATTTTCAAAGTCACCTTTCTTTACGTTGCACCTGTCTCCATCTGTTTCTGTGAATTGAAACAACAAATCTTCACTGGTTGCTGGTGAGGATAGGATGCATGGAAGAATGCCACGAATGCTGGGATGTTAGTTCTTTACTCAAACAGCAAACAAATCTCTGGTTGAGCAGCTTATTGTAGAACAGCACACTTAAAGAAACCATACTTGAGGGACAAATTGAAGACATACTGAATAAAGAATATACATCACAGCACCCAGGACACTTTCATAAGTGCTCCTTCCCCATCTTCAGCAGCAAGCACAGAGTTCCAATTCTGATGGTACCAGTACCAGTCTGATAGTATATCCTTTTTCTTGCTTTTCCCTTGAGTGTTAAGCGTGGGTCAGATCCCCTGGTCATTACTGGAAGCACCATTTTCCTCAGACAGTGATGATCTATTTGTGCCTCGGCACTATTCATTCGCTCCCATAGGACCCTTTCAACACCTAGCTTGTCATACATCATTTGGCAAAATTAGCAGTTTGTTTATACGCCCTCCTTGCCTTTCCACTGAGCGCAGAATGTTCGGTCAAATGTCCTGGTCACTCACACTCTATTACAGCATTACCAAACAGGCCAAACTTTTCAACACAATTGATCGGAACATTTACACAGGCATGGTATAACACAAACAAGTAACACCCAACACACACCCTAAAGTCACCAAAAAACATCATCATCATCAAATATTACATGAACAGCATAAAGATACACCCATCACCAAACATAAAAGCGATCTTACATAAAACACCCAGACCATTTTGATCCCCTTCAACCAAAATTTCACTTTCTACCAGGCAAATAGGCACAATTAAATCTTTCACACAAAAATGAGTTCCAGTTAATTTAAATTACGACGACACAAGCAATACTTTTCATAATTTAAATTGTGACTGAAATACGCAAATTACATTAAAAGCTTCAGCGAAAGTGTTACTACAGGAGCCTTAAACTCATCACATGTTCCTTCTGCTGAAATGATTAATTGTACTTCATGATCTGTTGATGTAAATTCTCTAGTATGTACCTGACCAGATATCAGAAAACATGTCACGTTAGACAGTGTGCTCCTAGTGCCGGTTCCGGGGCCCCACATTAGAGGAAAATAGAACACATTCACTGCTCCCTAACAAGCATGTCGGAAAAGTCTACTAATTAGAGTGATTTGGATTGTCTCCCTTAGTCCATAGTGCATCTGCTTGACAGTATGCATTTAGACAAGCCAGATCTGTGAAATGGATGTCAATGCAAAACTTGCTGTAAGCTCCAGCGGAAAGTCCTGGTTGTTCGTCTATTTGGACTTTGGCTTTGAGACAGGACCTGAGTTCTGCGTATACATCTGCCTTATCTGTGCGCTTTTAGTTGTTCTTTGCCACTCTGGCAGATGCACTCCAACTTTGAAGGAATTCCCCAGTTAGTTGACACCTATGACATGCTTGCTGGGAAGGCAGTGAGACTATTCTTGTTTTCCCCATAATGGGGCCCCAGAATTCACACAGGGAAATGCAAAACTCAAGTTCTGGATCAAGACACAATTACAGAAGTGAACAACCAGAACTTCGCGTTGGAGTTTACAGCCAGGAAGCACTCAGAAGATTAGGAATATAGTGTGCAATATATTGTTTGTGTCCTCATTATTTAAATTCACACTGGGAAAACACTGCTTTGAAATCCCTAAACTGTTTTTACAACTGCCTTTGTGTACTACTTTTCCTTCGATGCCATATGTCTCATGAGCTGGCCAGTCAGCTTTTCCAGTTTTTTCACATCCTGAGCATGCTCTGTCCGATACTGGAAACACTGAGAAAGAAAACAAACAAATTATATAATAGGAGTAAAAGAATCTGTTGCATGCCCTATAGAAGGAGTTATAAAAACAGGTATTGTTCTTCTCTTTTTTTTAACACTGTGGCACAGGTCCTTAACTCTTTAAACAGGTCTCTGCTGTTCATCTATCAAAGATTTTCATCTTCATAAAAGGACTGGCATGCTCTGTGGTTAACAACTGCTGTAATAGTTGCAGCTTTCAGCCAACACATTTAATTTCAGCAAATAACTGAAAGAAAAAAGAAACAACAAGCAAATCCTTAATTAATCTTCTTCTTCTTTTGTTCGCATGAAATAAATTATCTATATCTGCAATGCTGTCTCTAGTATAAATTTCACTGTCTTTTGTAATTCACTAAGCGGCCCGTAAAGTTTGACTTCCACAAGTGTCTCTTTTGGCCAAAGGGTTTGCCTGAAAGCGTTGAATTTGGGACGGTCTTGGAGGATGTGATCTGTTGTCTCAGGTGCCAGTCCACAGGTACACACGGCTGATTGGCCAATCTTAAATTTGTTGTACATGTGGCAGCGAAGTAGATTGGGCCCTGTTCTAAGGCGAAGGCTAATGACACAAAGTAAATTTTATCATAAGAACTCATCTGTCTGTGTAAATCATAGAAGTTATCACTAGAACCTTTTGCAGTACTGCATGAGAATCGGTTACTAATTCTATTATGGTCTGTCATTGTTAAACTGCTGTTGCATTTATGTCATCCTCATTAGAATGTAAGGCTGTAACCAGTGGGTTCTCATGCATCAGGATCAATGCAAAAATGCTTTATTGTCCCTGACCTTGAGTGAGTCTAAAAAAAAGGAAACAATAATTGTCTACAATACATACCGCTTTATCATCCGTAATTTTGATAGTCAGTTTTCCATCACAGTGTCTGTATTTTGTCACAAAACGACACTGAAATCAAGCAAAGATAATAATCAGACACTGAATAAAATCTTAATACGCATGTCTAATTTTATTAAGCTCATTATCTTATCATCATCATGTAGCTTGCTGACTGGCATGAACGACCATGGCTCCCCACAACTAGCAATCTCCAGCAGCTACAGAAATAACAACATATCAGAGCGCTGGTATGACTACTAATAAGCTTTCTCAAACCAGAAAAAACACATAATAATTAGAAAAAAAAAATAAAACAATATAAGAGTTTAAAATATACTCGAATGCATTAACAAACATTGAAGTATTGTGAAATATATAACTGAAACGTAGCTAGTTGTTTCCGGGTCCCTTTTAGCTTTGAGCCTGTTAACAATGAAATGTCTACACCTGTTGTCAGAAATATTACCTCTACAATCTGTTGGGGGAACTGTTACCAATCTAGGTAGAATCTGAGTGTCCTGTGTTGATTAATGATCTGGTTACATTCTAATTTGAGGATTTAAAGTTCCAGTGTACTGGTCTAAATACACAGAAAATGAACAGATGGAGACTTAGTGAGGCTGTTTAAACAGTATAATAAACATATACTGATTGGCACCCATAGATAGAAAGAAGTAGAGAGAAAAAAGGACATATCACACTACATAAAAATATAAAGCTTTAGTTACCATAATGGGAACTGAACCTGTCATTGTCATCTCTAAATGATGATGGCAGCGCCTAACTTTGATAACTGCACTTCAACATATGACTAAATCGAGACCCCTTAGAAAGTGTCATCATTAGACAGGTCTCCCATTATACTTATTCTAAGTACCATTCATCTGATAGATCTTTAAAAATATGGGGCTAGCAGTACTAGCACTATATGATGCCAAATACATCATCTGGCAAGAACCATCTGAGGAGTGTCTTTTACTTGGCTTTTGGCTTCACTTGCAGACAAACTATTGGATAACGATCTATTATCTATTTGACTAGAAAGAAACATGGACAATAAAGCAACTAGATCTAAAAAAAACAACAACTCAAAATTAAAACTGAATCTGGAAATGTGGACAGACAATGTCAATACAGTAGAATTAGAATCAGTGATTAAAAAGGATTATCATCACAGCACTCCGGACAGATCCATAGGTACTCCAATCTCTTCCTCAAAAGCTCCACAAGTGTAAAATCACTGATGAAGCCTGTTCTGTGTTGGTTAATGAAACGTCTTGACCTCTAAGTGAAATGTTCATTTCTTGCAGATCCAGGCGGCACCCCCATGTCCATCAGTCTAGACAGGGATATGGAGTCATGTCCTTTGTGTGCTCCTCTGTAATTGCAGCGCATAACATTGATAACATCACTTCTGTCCAGTACTGGGACAGCCATAGCAACTGCAGTGTCAGCAAGATAGTCTCCACGCTCGTTCCCTTGAACACCCTCGTAACCTGGCACAAAGATGAAGGTTAGGGCAGATATTTGTGAAGTGCTTAGTGTATCAATTCATTCTTGCTTGATAAATCCAGCTTGGATTTTTAAAAGCATATTCATTCAGTCACTAATAAAGCAGACGTGTGTGAACTTTTGAGTACAAAGCCATGCTAAAGCCCTTGTTACAGCCATAGTTTCCATTGTAAGGCTACTATTTGTAACAGCAAAGGCGCCATTTATCTTCTTGATGGTTTTCCCCCTTAAGCTTACTGTGAAGGCCCACACACTTCGTTTGCCCCTAATTACTGACCCATCTGTGTAAACTATAGCATCACCTTCATCTGTGTTTTCGTCAATCAGTGTTCTGACTAAAGTGTCAACAATGCCAGGAATCTGCTCTCTACAGCTACCATCAAGTGTGATATGTGCTGTAATACTAATGTTTAGAGAGGGAGGCATAATTATCCATTCATTTCCAAAATTAATGTCAGTAAGGCGGCAAACATGTTCACTTGCATCCTCAGCCTGATCCATCCAGGATTTGCCTCGTTTGAGTCTACTCTTTTTTTACTTCAATAATTCCTCATAAAGTGGGTGTCAATGGTCTGATTTCACTTTGAGAAAAGCAACAGCCCTGGATAGCTTGATTCTGTTTTCCACTGTGGGGAAATCCAAGAGGTATCGCATGGATTTACAGGAGGTGTCTCTAGTGCACCCAAGAATAATGTGCGTTGCCTCGTTTTCAATTTTTTCCAGTCTGTTCATCTGTGTGGTGCTGAGTGTCAGCCAAGGCATATTCAATGGTGGAGAGAACTAATGCACAGTACAACGTTAGAAGTAGCCGTTGCTCAAAGTTTGCAGCTCCCATAACTTTTATTGTGGAGAGACCTTTCTTGGCTTTGGTTATAATGTGGTCTAGGTGTTTTTTAAATGCTAAGCATCTGTAAAATGTTATACCCAGGTATTTCATGAAATCAGATCTCTTCATGTCAGCACGACAGAGCTTTACTATCTGCATTGGGGTTTTAGAAAGGTGATTATTTAATGACAACCAGGTGACTGTCGCTTTTGATGGATTTATTGTTGCCCCTGAGGTGTTGCACCAGGATGATATGCGATCTAATTCCTGTTATAGACCCGAAACAATGTCATCTCTGTTCCTGCCCTGTTGGTACACGAGGATATCATCAACATATGAAAAGAGTTCTTCCTCTGCCACTCAGTTGACTCTTGACTGTGTAAATGTTGAAGATGATAGGAGACAATGGAGAACCCTGTGGCAAACCAGGGTGTATTGTTACCGGTACAGAAGACCAACTACCACATCGACAGATATGCTACTGCGGTAGAAATCCATTGAATGAGATGTGGGGGGGGTGTGTCCTTCAATTAATTGACACATTAGTTGGTGGAAGGAAACTTTGTTGTATGCATCCTCCAGATCTATGGCGACTGCACATTTCAAATCTAGCTTGAAAACCTTCAAATGTGTCATGTACAAACACGGCAGCATTACGCCAGGTCTCTGTATTTTGTCTGGATCCTCCAAGTGTGGAGGGTAGCAGCTGATGTATTTCAACATGGCTTGCCAGTCTTCTCACTATTATCTTTTCCAATGTTTTGCCCAATGTGTTCTGCATCCTAATGATTCTTTAGCCATTTATGTGTGTGGCATCTTTCCCTGGTTTCTGTAGCGGAATCAAATAGCTATGCAGCCAGGTTTCTGAGATGGTATGGTACCATTACAGATGCTGTCAGTGTAGGCTTTACATAGGACCTCCATGGATATTGTGGGCAGCTTGGCAATGTCTTCATAATGAAAGCCATCAGGGCCAGGAACAGGCTTCTTAAATGGTTTGACGATGTTCTTATTTTTCTTAATTAGAATAAGTAGTTTACTTTTTTTATTTTTGAAACAAAGACAAGCCAAAAGGGCAAAAGCAATATAAAATAATAATTACAAAGGTTCTGCAAAGGCAAGGATTGAAGGTAAAGGAGAGTTGCTTAAGAAAATATAAAAAAAAAAAAAAAACATGAAATAAATATATTAAAATTAATAAGACCTAACAGTGAAGGCTTTTTCGGCGCTTCTTTGAATCGTTCCCCAAAATGGCGGCTGTAATATGTTGGCGTTCAAAAAGGAGCTAAATTGGCCAACTTCTGGCCATAAAATATCCAGAAATATCCGATGCGGGGTCAGTTATATTAAAAATATATGTGCTGGCTCCGAATAACGAAACAAATGCTCTGACAGGGTCTGGGCGATACGTTGCATGCCGACCTGCTTCTGCGAGTGTGCCTCACCGCCGAGCGTATCCCCCGCGCCGCTACGCGCGGATGAGGGCTAAACTAGATGGCTGGGACTCATGAGTGGCAGCTACCGCATCTCCTGCAACTTCCTCCAATTACTGTACTCGTGAGTCCCAGGCACCTAGATACGCTCGGCGATGAGTTTAATCGCGTTTGGCCCATGCCGACAAGTCTGACATCTACCACTCCAATCGGAAGAACACAGTATTGCTAATTGGCTTTCATCGTCTGTAATGTCTCGAAATTGGTCAACGGTCGCTAATATCGTCTGCTAGTATCGTCGTCTGCAGAAACGCTCGAAATTTTTCTCAACGGTCAGTATTTATCGTCTGCTACTAGTACCGTGTGCAAATGTTGATACTGGTTGTCAAGTAATCCTAGTTTTGCCGCGATTTGTTCGTTGGCAGAAAGTCCGTATTTTAGATATACGCGAACACCGTCGTTCGGATATTTTTGGATATTTTATGGCCAGAATGTGGCATGCCGCCATTTTGGGGAATAAATCAAAGAAGCGCCGCTTTTTCCTATTAAAAAAAGTGCCGGTACTAAGTACTTCTTACTGATTTGTTGAATGAACTTTCTATGCTAATATAACAACAAATCGTCAAATAATAAACGTTCACTTACTTTGGACGGATCATTTAAATATAATCTTTCTGCTGCTTTAGCAAACTCCTCCCAAGATGTAAAATATGTCATGATTGTAAAGATTAGATGCTGCAATAAAGCTGTAAAAACTTGCAGAATGTTGACAAACCGTGCAATGAAGCTAACACATACAATGTTGACAAACGAACAGACAGCAGGCAGCCATGCACAGGAACCCAACAGTGCCCAACACGAACACCCTCCAGCCACTTCCCGTCTATAGCTCAGCAGTAAAAACTAGGTATTTGAAAAAATCACTAACAGTTATTTTATATCTGAAGTTCTACACTAATTAAATCACGTAAAATTTATTTTAAATGTAGGAAGTGAACTTTAGAAAAAAATTGTTCATATATAAGTGTCAAAAATAAAAGTGCATCAAATGCTTGAAATAAACATGGCGTCCCAGTAGGAAGTGAGACAGTTTGGCTGGTCGCTGTGTATTTGTTGGCGAGTGTCAACTAACTAAACTTATATAATGCATTTACTGGTTTAGCTGAAGTAATTTAACTGTAAACAGCTACTGCTTAGCTGTGAAATTAATTGCACTGCGTGTAAAGTGTTTCACATTAGATAGATGTGTTTAATTAAATAAGTAATCCAATCCATTTCTGATTCATTGCAGAACAAAAATATTCGATCGAGTTTGCTCACTTCAAGCGTTTCACATTCAGTTAACTTCTCGGAGCATTTGCGATATTTATTGTGTAATGGTTGTTTACGGCGACCATAAGGGAGACAATCCAGTGTTTGTGTAAGTTCCTGATAATATTCTTTCATATTTAAATGTTTGAAGTTGAAGTTAGGGTTTAGGTTAGGGTAAGCCCTAACATCTGAAATAATAATGAAAGAATATTGTATTATGTGAACTTACACAAATAATAGTACCCCTGGCGCGAACTGACAGTAATGTTAACCTGCAATAGATTGTGTTCTGTCCCCTAGGGTCCCTTTGGCGTTGCAAAAGTTATTTTGTGTTTCTGCGATTATTTTTCATGACAAAAAAATTGGGTTCATCTTCTCCTTTGTGTCCACCAGCTGCAGACTCCAGTGGAAAGTTCTGGTTGTTCGTCCACCTCTGGACGTGCAGAACCTGAGTGCAGAACCTGTCTTAGTGCAGAACCTGAGTGTTGCATGCACATCCATTTCACAGATCTGACTTATTTGGCTGCTGCAGATTGTTGGTTCCTGGCCTCACACTTCAACTTCGAAAGAAAAGGAGTTAAACATTACGATTTAATAATTTGAATAGTTTTCATAGTAATAATAGTTAGTAGTTACTAGTTACAGAATTATTTAAAGTTTAATTATTTAGTTTGTTGTTATTTTGCTACTGAAATCAGTTAATTCTTTATCGCTAAATCATGAATGAATGTGTTTTATTTGATAGTTCATCCACAGAAGAATTCTTTATTGGCATCATATACGTTGAGACTGAAACTCAGTTTTAATTTTTAAAACTGTAGTTAGACTGAATAGATCAGACTGAGAGCAGGATTTGAAAATTAAAGCAACTACTCACACTAGTGCAGCAGCAAATAATTCCAGATATAGTGTGGACCAGCTTTCAAAATGAGGTATGCTTACATTTCTTAGATTATAAAGCTGTTGTATAAATGGGTGCTAATTTCTTTCTAGGAAGAAATGATGACAGAATGGAGATAGTTACCTTGTCTTATAACATTGAATTCTAGTAGTAATGTATGAAATCCTATTCCTATTCATATTTCTCCTACACTCACTGTGAAGGAAATAACTGCCATGGGATTATTTATGTAATAAACTCAGAGCTGTTTTTCAAACCTGAGGAACTTCATGTCCATTACTGACTGAGGAAGATGCTGTAATATTTTCAAGCAGACGTAATGGAATGATGATGATAATTATATAGTCTAGCGCTTTGTATACAACTAATCAGTGCATATCGACAGTCTACAATATTTATTCCATCAAAAAATATGATAGGACTGATAAATTCTAGGGCTTTGTATATGACCCAGCAGTTCAGATCGACAGGCTGCAATATTTATTTGATGACAATAATATATATACACTATATACTATACTATACTACACACTGTATACTATTTTCTAATTGTCCCTCTCAGCAAAACCTATGAGAAAACATAGCCAGAGGAAAGAATCATCCAGAACAAACTTTGCAAACCCTTCTAGGCAACACAGCTGAAAACCTGAGCATCTGAAACCAATCACAAAGAAGAATATGTATCTCTACTTTGAAGTGGTAGAGGGACCTATGTGTTTCAGTAACCTCGTGAACTATGCCAGCAGTAGCATATCTACAAGTGGGGTCTGCCCACATCAGTAAAGGCAATTCATATTCTTTGGGCATGTTATGAGAAAAGGAAAATTGGAGTATGTTGGAAGCCAGAGGGGAATAAAGCCTGATTTAGATCAAGAGATAAGATGCTGAAAGTTTAGTGTCATGGCGTGGATGAGCATCTGCATCAGACTTGATAGTACAATGTCAGAAGACTGAAAATACATGATAACCAGTGCCACATGGAATGGCTGTAATAATAAGGAGAATGGAGTATTGGCTTGTGTAACAATACTCACTGCAGAGTGGCATGCTTCGCTTCACAGGTCACGGGCGAAGAGCACTGTCTGGATCTTTTCTCCTAGACATGCCGTTGTGTTGGGAAATTAACAGGTAGAAGATTGGCTTGGTTTTGCAAAACTTGGTGGAATACTGATGCATAGTAAGGCAGGCATGGTTAAGACCTTATGGGAGCATGTGTTTAATTCAAAATAGCAAATTGATCATCACAGTCTGGTGAGAGTGATTCTGCAAGGAGTGACAAGGGGATCTGGCCGATACTCGACGCTCCGAGGAAATGCAAGATGGACATATAATCATAGACTGCTACTGGCACCATTGGTATTGGAACTTTACACTGGCTACTTCTTCTTTTTCTTCGTGTTCATCGGCTGTAAACTCTGGTGGAAAGTTCTGGTTGTTCATCCACTTTTGGACTTCAGTCCTGTTCCAGAACCTAAGTGTTACATGTGCATCCGTTTTACAGATCTGACTCATTTGTATGCAGACTGCTGGTTCCTTGCCTCTCAGGCAGATGCACTCCGGTTTTGAAATGAGCTCCCAGTTAGTAGAATCTTATGACAAGCTTTTGGTGAGGCAGTGGGTCTATTCTTTTTTTCCCTATAATAGAGCCCCGGAACCCACACGGGAAACACTGGCTGCTAAAGATGGGGTAAGAGTGCTTACAGAAATGCTAAGAATGCTGTGATGTCAGTTCTTGAATCAACTCAACAGTATGCAGTGATTTCCTGAAGTAACTAGACTCTCATTCATCCTTCCTTGTCGGATCCACACTTAATTCTTTGTTTTCACATTCTTGCCCATATTTTTCATCTAATCTTGTGTCTTCTGCCAACAGTCGTTCATATAGAGTCTTCAAAATATCTCCCTTGTCCAGTACAAGTGTTTCTGTAGCTTTCCCTTTTGTAGCCAGAAAATCAGCTCTTTCAGTCCCTTGCACTCCTGCATGTCCCGGACAGTATATCCACATGATTCCCTGCAGTGTTGACATACTGATGCTTGGTATCCACTCATGCCACATTAGTCCATTGTGAACCTTCCAAAATGCAGACTGAGAATCAGACACAATAATTCTTCTGGTAACTTTGTTTTCTGCTCTCCAATTCAGAGCTGCGGTGATTGCCTCCACTTCCATTATCATGCGTGAAGTTGTAGATAAAAAAGCTCTGTTTTGTTCTGTCACAATTTTTCCCTTCATTTTAGCTGAAAATCCCCAGCCAGATCTCCCCGCCCCTCTCCCATGAACAGAACCATCGGCGTACACTACTGCATCATCTAGCACAGCTTTTCCATCTATAAATTGTTGTTCCTCTAATTCTTCATGACTTTCATTGATAGCCTGTTTGATACAGTGGGGATAAATGTATTGTTTTATGTCTGCATAATTGTGGCCTACCCCTGGCACTTTTCTGAGATTAACTCTGGAACTGGCCTCCTTCTGTAAAGTTCTGCTTTTGAAACTGCCAGACTCTAACAGTTGAAGTCTCAGATCAGCCAGTCACATCAACAGCTGGCATCATACCATTGCATTCACAATGCATTCCTGACAGTCTTTCTGAAATCTTAAGTATCTATCAGTGTATTGTGCTGGAGGTACTCAGTATTATTCTAAAGATGCTCCCTGTCTTGTTTTTAGAAGTGTTAATGTTTCACTTACATGTGTAAGACAGGGTTAACATTACATAAATCTCCCCAAACAAAGTTAGGCCCTGCCTATATACATACTGTCACGTGTGATTGGAAGTTCCTGACCCTCATCACCTTCACACAAGGTTATGGGGGTGTTCCGGGATATAATTGATATCACGTGTTGTATATTTCAGCACATCAGCGTTTTTAACGCTCTAAAAGTTTGGAGCACTGGACCTAACACAACACCCCTACGACAGTGCTGCAGCCTGTGTCAAGGGCATTCTCTTTCTCAGAATGAAAATGTAAATGGAAGACAACACAGAAAGCAAACAATAGAGCGGGACACACCTGTCACCCTGAGCAAGTTGACAAGTCTAACAGACTTGTGAATTAAAAGTGATCTAGTGCGTAAATGGGCGGGGTTGACTCTGTTTGGGGAGATTTTCACTACATTCACCTAAGACGGATAATATTTCCTTCAATACTGAGTATTTGTCAGTTATTAGCTAGTAATCAAAAATGCGCGGTGCTTGTATGTCTCAAGTGTTGCCTTTCCTAGTGCTCCACTTCATTTTATGGTGACTGATAGTGACACATAAGCTACTGTGATAGAAAGTCTGAAGAACTAATTCTGTTACCTTTTTTAATTTTTAGTGAGGTTCCCATAATCTCAGCGAGGGCATCAGTGATGATATATGATGATGTCAACAAACGGTGGGTGCCAAGTGGGACAACACAAGGTCTGTCAAAGGTCCAGATATACCAGCACACAGTGAACAACACTTTCAGAGTTGTAGGCCGGAAAGTTCAGGATCATGAGGTGAGGATTTGTGTTTGTTTCCTGCATGAGCTAAGTGTTTCCATCATGGAGTTAAGGGACATTCTTCTTCTTCGCATTCACCCGTAGTAAACACCAGCAGAATTTCTGGTTGCTTGTCCACCTGTGGATTTTGGTCTTGTTCCAAAACTTGAGTTTTGTGTGCACATCCTCTTTATGGATCTAGCTTATTTGTATGTAGACTGTTGGTTCCTCGCCTCTTAAGCAGATGTACTGTGATTTTGAAGGCAACGTTCATAATTAGTCATCTATTATAACATGCTTGTAAGAGGTGCAGGCCCCCCCCCCAACCCCCAGTTGGGCCCTGAAAACCACACTAGGTGACTGTCATTACCCTTTTGCTATTACCATCTAAATCTTCTGGTGCCTAAAGATCTGTGATTAGTAAGGATTATCACCACAGCACTCTGGACAGATCCATAGGTGCTCCGATCTAATCCTCAAAAGCTCCACAAGCGCAAAATGACTGATGACGCCTGATCTGTGTTGGTTAATGAAACATCTTGTTCCCTTAGTGAAATTTTCATTTTTTGAAGCTCTATGCTGCACCCCCATGTTCATTAGCCTAGACAGGGATACGGAGCCGTGCCCTGTGATGTGCTCGTCATCATAGTAAGTGCTGCGCATGGCATTGATAACATTGCTTCTGTCCAGTACTGGACCATCCGTAACAACCGCAGTGTCAGCAAGATAATCTGCACACACCTTCTCTTGAACACCCGCATTACCTGGCACAAAGATGAAGGTTAGGGCAGCCATTCATAAAGTGCTTAGTGTTGCAACATATTCTTGCCTGATAAAACCAGCTTGGATTTTTTGTCTAAGCATATTCCTCAAGTCACTAAGTATGCACATGCGTGTGAACTCTTGGGTATTAAGCCATGCTAGCTAATGAATGCCCTTGTTACAGCCATAGTTTCCATTGTAAGGCTACTAGTTGTAACAGCAAAGGCACCATTCATCTCTTTAATGGTTTTCCCCCTTGAGCTTACTGTGAATGCCCATGCACTTCACTTGCCCAGAATTACTGATCCATCTGTGTAAACTATAGCATCACCTTCATCTGTGTTTTCGTCAATCAGTGTTCTGACTAAAATGTCCACAATGCCAGGAATCTGAGCTCTACAACTTCCATTAAGTGTGACGTGGACTGTAATGTTAATATTTGGAGCAGGAGGCATGGGTATCCATTCAATTCCAAAACTAATGTCAGTAAGGCAGCAAACATCTTCCATGGCGTCCTCAGCCTGACTCATCCAGGATTTGCCTCGTTTATGTCTATTCTTTTTTTGCTTGAATAATTCCACTATGTGCATTTGAGCTGAGATCCTTTTCACTTGTACTTAAAGACTTAATAAGTTCTATCTGAATTGTTACTTCAGCATTTGATGTACCATTATTCACAGTCTGTCTGTTTTTATCAAATGGAGCCTAGGTTCTCAATCTAACTTAAACAAAGGCACTGTGTCCATTGTTATCTCTTTGTTTCATTCAGTCACCATCAGCAGTTTTCACCCTGCACCCACATCATGGCCAGCTATTTGAGGCCACTGTAGGCTGCTTGGGTTGATTCACTCTGTGGTTCACACACATTAATTCCTCACAAACTCCACTTGTCTCGTCCAAGCGTCGCATACAGAATGATCCATAATTCTCTCAAACCTTTAATCTTCCGGTCGATTTCACCTATTATCTTAGCATCATTATGTTCCTAATTCCCCACCAGCCACTCTAAACCTCATGATTGTCTTTCCTGGTCTGTGGCTTTCTCAAACCCCGCCTCTTACAGGTAGTTTATGCTAACTAAATGTTTATTCTTAACTCTCCTGATAAACGATAAACTATATCATTGCAGTTCTTCTGAATTACAGAAACGTTGGAATAGGTAGAGGTTTCAGTTCCTTGGGACTGAACAGGTTAATAGGCGGGAAGGATTCTTTTCTACATATTTAATGTAGTCACAATCAGCTGTAGCTTATAAATGTTGGTTGTGGACCAAGTGAAGTTGCTAGCAACATTCCACTTTGCATATTATAAGCTCTTCGCCAAATTAATTTGCTCAGTTTTTCTCCATCCGTTTTTCTTGTGGATGACTTGACATTTCTGTACCTACTTTATTTTAAGAAAATACAAAGGTTCAGGGGTGAAAGGAATGATTTCATTGCACCAGGTTTCAATCTGTATGTCTTGTCACTCACTGCTTGTCACCTGGCCACCACCATAAGCATCGACCAAGCTGCAGTGTTGGTACGATAGAAAGTTTCTTTGTCAACACAAAAGTCTCCATAAAGATAACACTTATGAACGAAGTGATTTTCTGAAAATGACCATTTATCTCAGAATTGGAAGCAAATGGCTCTACCACTTCACCATGGAGGCCTTTTCCTCTGCCCTTTATCCCCGACTAAAAAATGGTCAAAGTCATCCTATGTGGGACCCTCTGAGAGAAAACCTTTATGAGAATTAGACAGATACAGCCGACAGATGACATGTATATTTCCGGAAGTTAAGTAAGAAGACCCTTTTCCACGCCTTTAGGCACATTGGGCATATAGGGCTAGCCTATATATTTTTGACCAACTGGCACTAAAAAGGTGATGTAGTCAACAACACACTGGCCACCTTTACTTCCCAGGATTTTACTTGGTATGCATTTAAGACTGGATCAACATAGGAGCCAAGATCATTTTTGCAGAAAAAAGGTCCGGCTCCGTTTGAATTTAAACCCATGACCTTCGGAATCGCAGGCGAGTCTCTAGCTGCTACACCTCGGTGGCCCTCACATTTCAGAAAGACAGAAGTTATAATGAAACAAAAACTTTCTTTCAGTCATAAATTGTTAAGCTATGTACCAATTGGTTTGTACTGTGAATAACACCACCTCATATGAAATAATAACTAAATTTTGTGTTCTTGATTTCAGGTAGTCATCAACTGTGCTATCCTCAAGGGACTCAAATACAACCAGGCCACTCCTACATTTCACCAGTGGCGAGACAGTCGCCAGGTCTATGGTCTGAATTTTGCATCACGAGAAGATGCCGAAAATTTTTCACAAGCCATGCAGGCAGCTTTAGAAACTTTGAGCAGTAAGTATATAGGTTAACCTACGTTAGGTAAAGTGGAAGTTGAGGTAGCATAGTGACTAGATGCTTACCTGATTGCATGAATGGAGGTCATGGGTTCAAATCTGCACCAAGAAAGATTTGTTTCTAAATTAGCCTTGGCTGCCAGATGGAATCAGCAGTTAATGTTGTGGGAAGTAAAGGGGTCAAAGGTCATGTTGACCACATCACCCGCCCAGAGCCAGTTGGTTTATAAAAATACAAGTCTGTCATCTTATGCTCAGTGCACCACTGGCAGGAAGAGTCCTTTTACAATAAGTAGAGTAGAGGAATTTTGTTCGTGCCTTGAAACACTTGGAGTATGTAGTGCTTGGTTCTGGATGTTAGATTGATTGGTGGGTGACGAGGTGAACATCAGGCTAGTCACATTGACTCGTCCAGGACATCTGAAGGTACCCATTTTAGCTTAGTCGACTTGAGAACCCGCATGATCTTACTTTTGATCTACATTAAACAGCTCAAGTAATAACAGAATAAATAGCTTGTTTTAATCCATTTGCCCTGCAGACGCTAAAAAAAAGAAGGGGGTGAGAGGTATGGGATATGAACCCATTAGAGATTCTTAATAAAAAAACAATCATTTTTTGCAGTTGATTAATGAATTTAAAAAAAATGTATTTATCAATATTTAATTTTTTTTTTCTTCAAAAGTTGCATATCCTTTACAGGATGTTGCAGAACCAACCTCAGCATTTTTGGGGGCAGTTTTAGTTTTTCTTGGCAAATTCTTCTTTCAGTAGTTTGCACATTGCTACCTGAACCGTCAGCTCTTGATAGCTCTGTCGAAACCAACGTAAAATAAATCATCCGTAGCTGGGATCGAACCCAGCTCCCTGGCATTACGAAGCGTGTTCGCGATGCCTAAACCACGGACGCCAACTCGAAGTATATAAAAAACAATATAAAAGGAGTAATCATTAAACATGAAGAGTGAAGCATTTAATGGAATACATTCTCCGGGATTTAACGGAATATTTATCGAGTGACTCATCCTGTAACCTCTATCCCTGAAGCTTATGGCAAATTTTGACATCAGCTTGGCTTTAAAAAAGCCTTAGGGTTCATAAGGTAAAGTAAATAAGTGAAGTAAAGATCCCTTTTCCACCGTTTAGGCATATCGGGCATATGGGAAGAGCGCTCATATTTTTACAGACTGTCTGCACTAGGTGGGTAATGTGGTCAGCATTATGCTGGTCGTCTTTACTTCCCCAGGACAGTCATCCTGGTACCCATTTTAGGCTGGGCCGGCCTGCAGTGCTCATTATAAAAATCCATGCATCCAGCAGTGGGTTTCGATCGTGGTATGTTGGAATTACGAGTCGGACTCACAACACCTAAGCCACGGGTGCTGCTAGGGTTCATAAGGGACTCCCATTAAATGCTATTTTTAGTTACTGTATTCATCATAACCTGGCACATTAAAAACTGCGCAGGTGCACATAGAGCCATTGGAATTTAACTGTACTTTTTGAGAACAGGCCACTGCAGACAATCCAGTTTTTCAGCATTTACAAGACTGTCACAACAGGAAGTGACTAAATTTAGTCTTCTTAGGTGACAGGGTTCCTCTGTGGGAAAAAAAACAAGAATAGACGTCCCCCCCCCCCCCCCCCTCAATAAGCGTGTCGTAAAGGGTGACTGATTAAGGGCGCATCTGGCTAACCGGCAAGGAACCAACAGTCTGCACACAGATAAATCTGGATCTGTAAAGAACTTGAGTTATGGAACACGACCAAAGATCAGAGGTGGATTGACAACCACAACTTTCAGCTCGAGTTTACAGTTGTTGAATGCTTACATGAAGAAGAAATGTCACTAGCATTAGTTTTAGCGGATGTAAAAGCTTGAGGATGGTTGGGTGCTTTCTTTTATTATACAGATTTCCTGTTGCAGATATGCAGTATCCCTTGCAGATATCTTTTGTGTATACAGCTAAACTACACATTGTGGAACTGCAGAAGAGCCTTCATTTAGCACTGTCAGTTTATTTCAGCATTGTTTGTCACACATTTTTTCATCGGAACTTTTGAGACAAACATTTCAGTTGTGTCAGGCGTTACTTTTGTGACACCTCTTATTTTCGTAACTATCTACATACTGGCGTTGTTATTTTATACTGAGCTTCTTTTGGGTGACAGTTTCATATGCCCGGTTTGATTCCAGCTGCAGATAATTTGGCAGCAGACTACCTTGTTCCACAAAGGATTGGTTTCGACAGTGTTATCGAAAACTTACTCTTCAGGAAGCAGTGACAAACTGTTGAACATAAAGTTACCTCGTGAAATCACAAAACAGCCAGAAATGCTGGGGCTGGTTCTGCATCATCATCATCAATTTTAACTTCTGCTGTTAAGCATTGTGGGGAGGAACAGTTTGCGATCCATTGCTTTATGGGCAGCATTGGCATTTATCATTCCGTATCGATGTAGAGGCTGTTTAATGTCATCAATACATGTTCTCCTAAGGAGACCTCTTGCTTTCACTTCAGATCTTTTCATGAGCAGCGCCTGCATTGGTAGTTGTTCTGGCTGCATTCTTACTAAATGCTCAAACCATTTGATCTTCTGTTTCTTAATGAATTTGCTGCATGGTGTTATTCCTACAGTCTGTCTAATAATATTATTTCTAAGTTTGTCTCCGATGGTTTATTTGCGGCTTTTCTCAGGCATCTAATTTCACAGGTGTTCATTTTACATAGGTTAGCATTTGATAATGTCCAAGTCTGGCTCTAGTAGCACAGTGTTGATATGAATATGCTGCTTATAATCTGTTTGTTGGAGCTCATACTTATGTTTGGATATCTTAATAACGGTGTCAGTTGGTTGTTGTTATTGATCCAGCGGTGCATGAGCTTTCGACTTTGGCCCAATGCCATGTAGTTGAATTTACATGTTTTCACAAGCTGTTCTTTTCCCCAGTACAAGGTGTTCCACCTGTCTGGTCTCAGAGGGAGTAGCATTCTTCTAGTCTCGTTGAGTTTTGGGCACTCAAAGAGATGATGGTCAACAGTTTCGTAGGGGTAGTTACATAGCTGGCACTCTGGGGAATGTTGTGGCTGTATTCTCTTTAGGTGTCCATTGAGTGGAGTATGTTGTGTTCTGAGTCTGAGGATGGGGGCTTGATCCCCTCTTGTTAAATGTTTAATGCTGTCATTAGGATCAGGGCCAGCCATGTGTCTATAAACCTCTCTTCCAGTATCTCCCATGTCAGTTGGTATATAAGTGCACTGGCTCGTTGGCATCTTGTGTTTTTTTAATCTATTCTCCCGTCCTCCGAGGATACACTTCCTAGATATTTAAATTCTGTAACTTGCTTCAGACAAGTACCATTGAGCCCGATATGTAGCAGACTTGGGATTCTGCTGACCTGCATTACTTCAGTTTTAGTAATATTTTTTTTTCATGTTATATCTTCTGTATGTTGAACTTAGCCTTTTCAAGTGTTATTGCAGTCTACTCCCCTCATTAAAGACTGGTTCTGCAACACTTTGTAAAGGATAGGTAACTAACTGTTTATTTATTTTAAAAAATCTTTCTTACTGAAATTGTTTATTTGGTTTCAGGTGTGTATCGTCAGCCTGCTCCAGTGGCGCCAGCACCTCAGCCACCCCAACACCAAGGCAACATTTATGCCCAAGCAATGAATGCCGTCAATGTGCCTGCAGATCCAGATGAGTGGTAAGTTTGCTTATTTTTTCCTGTTTTAACCTTCTCAGTATAACCTGTATGGTTGCTTATGATTTACTGTTTATGTTTTGTGTTTTCTATTGTGACTTGTATATTTTCCTCAGTAAATTATGTTTACTTCTAACAGTCATTTGTATTCTCCATCAGGGTGCATAGCATACGTATTTTTGTGATCATCAGGCAGATCAGTCTAAAGACTGTTTGAATCATGTAATCATTTCCACTCTCTCTGATCTCATAATTTGTATAGTTCAGTTAAGTGTGAACCTAAGTGTTCCTGCATGCTTGTACAATTTTTTTTTTTTTTTCACGTACCTTCTTCTTTTGAATTATTCTTCCGGTGTTTTTATTAGTTGGTAACCCTAGAGCCTTTTTTTTTTCTAATGCTTCATAATGAGTCTTCTTCTTCTTCACTTCCTCTTTTACCGCTGTGAGTGTCGAGGGAGATATAAGGTTCTGTTTCTAGTTCTTCTGGCTGCCTCGACCATAGGCACATCGTGCTGTTGTAGAGTTTCTCTGATGTTATCCTTCCATCTTGTTCTTGGTCTACCCCGTGCTCTACGTCCTTCTTCTCTTTCCATGTATGCTTTGTATGGTATGGTGTCACAAGGCATTCTCTCTAAGTGGGCAAACCATTTCACTTGCTGTCTTTGTATGTAATCCAGAATTGGTTCTGTGCCGACTTGTTCTCTTATGATCTCATTCCTGATCTTATCTCTTATGGTCACTCCTACAGCCCTTCTCAGACATCTCATTTCCGTGGTTACTAATTTTCTTTTATGGTTTGCTGTGAGTGACCATGTCTGGCACTGGTAGCACAGAGTTGGAATAAATATGCTTTGAATAAGATGTCTCTTTGTGCTGATTGGGATTGTCTTATGCTGTAAGAGAGGGCTAGCTGTCCCAATACTTGGTTTGCTTTACTGCATCTAATGTCAATTTCTTTATCCAATTTCCCATCTTCGGTAAATGTAGTTCCCAGATATTTAAACTCAGATGCCTGTTTAATGCCTTTGTATTCTATTGCTATGTCTGGTAGTCTGGTAGTCTTAGTTTCAGCTTCATAGCAAACGGGTCGCCCCATCTTTGCTCCGCTCCTGTGCCAGCGAAAAACACTCAGAATGTCTATCACAGTCCCTTGTGGAAAGATTGACAGACTGCTGTCTCAGCATATCTAGCATACACTCGCATTAAAGCATATGGTAGCCATCCGAAGTGCTAACACAAACAGTCCAACATTAGAAATGCAGTTCATCATTGATGATAGCAGAACTTGTCGCCAACAAATCAGCAGTTGCCCGCGCGATAAATTTTAATACGGGCCCCGCCAGCATTGCACGACAGGCATCGCGCCATTTTCTGAATCTACAATTCACACCACCACGTTGGTCACAGTCGAAAATACATTCCAAATGAAATCCACAGCTCACAGGGTCACGCCATGCATTCAACTCAGAAGCTGGGCGACGAAACTATATCCAGTCTACAAATGGAGCAAAAATGCATCGGCCACCGTCCGGCAGAAGCAAAAAATTTGCCTCTGCTCCGAACAGCGCCGCTGTCTAGCGTCCATTTTAACCGGAAGTGTCATTCTATTGCTATGTTTAGATCTGTCTTCTTTTTTCCTATTGACATTACTTCTGTCTTTTCAGTGTTGATTCTCATATTATTTGTTTTACATTCTTCATTCATGGATGTTAGATGTTGTTGCAATTTCATGGCTGTATCTGCTATCAAGGCCTGGTCATCTGCAAAGAGTAATTCGTTGATCTTACTAAGATCTTCATTCATGGGCTTGGCATTCATGCATATACTGTCGATGGAGGTGATAAACAGCAGTGGTGATAAGACACACCCCTGTCTTACTCCCGATGTCACTGTGAAAGGATGAGATGTTCCCTGATTTATTCTAACTACACTTCTACAATCCCTGTATAAACTTTTGCACATTTCGATGAGGTGTTCGCTTACTCCATATCTTGCCATTATTTTCCATAATAATTGTCTGTCGACTCTGTCAAATGCCTTTTCCTGGTCTACGAATGCCACAAATAAGTTCTTATTGTATTCAATGTTCTTTTCTATTAACTGTTTAAGTGTGAAGATTGCATCTGTGCAGCTTCTATTTCTCCTAAATCCCATCTGTTCTTCTGCCAGCTGTTGTTCTATCACTGGTCTCAGTCTTGTTTCTATTATCTTGGCATACATTTTGCCAACATGGCTTAAAAGAGAGATGCCTCGATATTGACCGCATTCTCGTTTGCTTCCTTTGTTCTTCCACTATGGTATAACTATTGCATGTTGCCAATCAATAGGGGCCGTTTGTTGTACCCATGCTGCATTGAATATTCTGTGAAGCCATCTGATGCTGCTTTCACCTGCTGCTTGAATTATTTCTGTTGGTAATCTATCAGCTCCTGGTGCTTTATATCTGGGAGACTGTTTAATGACTTTTTCTATTTCATCTATTAGTATGTGTGGTTCTAACACTGTTGCTCTGTGCTCTTTAGTCGTTCTTTCCTGATGATCTCCTAGAGGATTAAAGAGCTCATTGAAGTATTCCCTCCATCTTTCTGCTATCTCGGGTGGATCTATCAATGGTCTTCCTGTCTTATCATTAATTATTTCAGTGGGGTTGTAGCTCTCATCTCTTTTCCGCATATTTTTAACCACTTTGAAAAATTTTCTGCTGGCTGTTTTCTCATTTTCTGCTAGTGACTCACCGAAACGTTCCCAGGATGCTTGTTTTGCTTTCTTGACACTCCTGTTGGTTTCTCTTCTTTGCAGTCTATAGTTTATATAATCTTCTTCTTTCTTTGATTTTATCCACTGTTTATATAAGTCTTTTTTCTTTTTAATTGCTTCTTTTACTTCTTCGCACCACCAAGGTGAATATTTGTTGTTTCCCCGTCTGTTTCCACTCTTCCGTTTTCCACATAATTCTTCTGCAATACTAAGCATAGTGTTTTTATATATACTCCATTCTTCCTCAATATTGCCAACTACATGTGGAAGTTGTTTGAATGCTGTCTCTACTTTCTGTTGTAACTGTTCTTTTACTCCTTCCTGTTTCAGATTTGCTATCTTGATGAGATCCTTGTTTTTGTTTAATTTCTTTCTGTGTTTCTTTAATGTAAGATGTTTTGCTGTTAACACAACTATTTTATGGTCAGTGTCACATAGACCATTAGGGATTGCTCTTGAATCAAGAATTCTCCTTCTTCCTTGAACTCTGGTAAGTATAAAGTCAATCTGGCTCTTGATGGAGATATCATTCCATTTGTACCAAGTGTAAAGTTGTGAATCTCTATGGTCAAAGAATGTGTTCGTAATAAAAAGATTGTGCTGGCTGCATAGATCCAATATTCTTTGACCATTTCCATTTCTAGCACTGTTCTTAGCTGCATATGGACCTAAAAACTGTTCGTATTCTCTTCTGTTATTTCCTACCCTCCCGTTGAAGTCACCCATTACATATAGTGTGCTGCTTCCCTCAACTTTCTTTATCTCATCAGACAGATCGTCAAAGAATTCATCTTTCTGCTCTTCTGTATAATTATCATTGCATGGTGCATATATCTGTATATATGTTTCAGCTTGTTCTCCTCTTTTAATTTTCAAAGTAATAATTCTATCTGAGTGATAATGTATGTCTAATATGTAGTTAGATATGTCCGGATGTACCAGGAAACCCACTCCATTCTTCGATGTTTCTCCTCCTGCATATGTTAGTAAGTAGCCTCTGTGTATTTTCTTATTAATATTTCCCTTGCGTCTTATGTCAGCTAGCCCCATTAACTTGATTTTCCTTTTTTCCATCATTTCAATTATCTCTTCTGTTTTATTTCCCAGGCCAGCGGTGTCATAATGAGTATTCCTTACTAATAGCATTATTGGGGCTGCATGGTCTCAAGGCATGGCGTCTGCCTCGAGTGCTGGAGGTCCTGGGTTCAGGCCCCTGTTAAGGCTGGGATTTTGTCACGTGGACTTCTAGTAATTTCCCCGGGTCTCTGGGTAGTAAGATGGGACGCCTATGTGTATTGTTGAGCACGTAAAAATCCCTTGGCAGTTGGAAATCGAAAATAGCAGCCTAACTGCGCTGCCTGGGCAAAATTTGGAGTTAAAAATCTACCCAAAGTATTTTAGAATCCTTACCGGTGCTACAGAGTTCATGCACTGCTCTGAGATTCTTCGTACTCAGGCTTGAGTTAGAAGTAGAACGGAGCACTTATTGGTTACAACCCTTGTACCGTAATGTTGATCCGATATAACAAATAGCATTTTATTTTTTTCTGTAGTTCAATTTAGATGTGAACCTTGATGCTCTTCCATGCTTGTTTGACGTTCTGAGTCCTCAAACTTAAATTTCTTGCACATGCGACTGCAGAAACTGTTGTATCCCGTTTGCAATCACAGTTTGCTGCTTTAGTTTGAAGAGGTCAATTGGGTCTTCAGGCTTGGGTTCTGAATTGGAAGTGTTCCAATGGGCTCTAAAAATTTTCCTTGATCTGGGTTTTATTTTCCTTATGAGTGTATTTTCCTATGTATTGTGTACTTCCAGTTTTTAAAAATCGTCTGCTCTTTCATTTCCCTGTAATGTTGTAATGGCCTGGGATCCACTGAAGCACAGTCTGCTTGTTGAACTGTAGTTGTTTGTTGTTTTATTTGTAATAGTGAGTGGAGATCTGTCAGTATAACCACTTATGATTCAAAGCTGTATTTACTGATTAATATGGATACCACTTCCTCCAGCACCATTGAATCTATTTTGAAATTTGAGGAGTGTTTTACTGTTTTTATACTCCATAATGATCAGGGCTATGTTTTGTTGTTGTTGTTGAAAAAGTGCTGATACTCACCACAAAATGTCTTACAGTATCACTGAAAAAAATTATGCCTTAAAACAGCACGGCCAGAAAGAAAAACAAAACTGAAAATGAGTATTCATAGTAATTAGGGCTATACCGAATATTCGCTTCGTATTCGCTTCA